GACCCCCGTCGATCCGAAGCCATGCTCCGGCCGGAGAGGAGAAAAGTACACAAAAAGTAGCTAGTTAATGTTTAATTCTTAGTTATTTTCCATTATTTTCATGGTCATATTCCTTCAGTTCCTGTCTTTCCTTGAGGTTTGAAGAGTTTTGAAAAGTGGGTTCAAATTTAGTTGTTGATTATTGAAAAAATAAATTTTCAGAATCTGAAAATTCAGAATCTGAATCATTACTAAAGAATAACTATTTCAGAATCTTGAGATCTTGACATGACAAATTTTCATTTTATAAAGTATCCGGATTTGGCTTCTTACGGACATTTCCGATGAGCAATTGCATGTTATAAAGTGTTTCTTCCTGGATGTCGATTTCTATCTTAACCTATCACAACCTGTGCTGGTCATTTTATAAACTAGTTTGTTTTTCATTTTATAAACCAAAAAACTATCCTTCTATAAACCCACAAAGTTTATAAAATGCAAAATCAGCGCGCCTATGAACAATCACGGGGGATTCCGGAAATATCCTCACCAAAAACGCTTGATGTGTTTGCTATACTTGCTCATCTTACTCTGAGCCCCTCACCAACAAGATCGGACCTTGTTGGTCCACTGGACAAGGTGGTCCACTGATGCCGTAAGCTTGCGCTTCCGTCAGGATGGTTGTAGAGATCCGACCGACGAGCTGGGGAGCCCAGAGCTGGGGTGATGGGAGTTTGGTCATTCTCCTGAGAACGGGCACCGAAAGAATCAGACGCGTTGAGAGAGTAAATAGACTTGGACAATCTAGGAAAGACGCCAAAGAAAGGAGCCAAAAGATCGTTAGCATTGTTGATGGTGAGGTTTGTTTTGGGCATAATTAGTGCTTTTAATTGAAATGACCCCAGGCATGACATACCGGGCACAGATGTTGGGGAGCGGAGAGCAAATTTGCACACAAGAAAGTGAGAGTGCTCACGAGTGAACTCAAATTTAGGGATTTGATGCAAACTGGGCCACCTGGCAACATCTTCAACAGATGCAATTGTGCAAGCCATATAGTGTTGAAGAAAAGTAACGCACGTGCATTCAGCAAAACATGCTGCGTCTAGGCTATAGGGGCCTTTGCTGCCTGCTTTATTCAAGGGTGTTTTTTTTCATCGATGGGCATCAACTAGTTGGATCCATGGGGTCGTGGAAGATGGCTTTCCTTTGGCAGTGAGTTCTTTTTTTTCCAATCAGTCAGAGTTGGCGAGACGCTTGGTGGGAGGATGTTGGGAGCTAGGTTAGCTTCTCCCTGCAGGCAGCACAACTCACCAAAGGACGCTTTCTGGTGGAGAGTAGCTGGAGCTCTTCCAATGCTTTACTAGGCCGCCCATCCATGTGGTTCACAGAGGGTATGGGCTATCATTGGCTAACGAGTAGCGGCCGAGGTCCACAGACGGAATGGCAGGCCTACTGCCGGGGCGTGCGGGGGCAGACGGGGAGGATCAGGGAGGTCTGAAGAAGTTCACCTTGAAAACTGTCAGAACATGGGAAGAGGAAGGTGTGTGGTGGAGGGTCCTGGGAATGGCTCCATGCAAGGAGTTCGTTGTGGCTCATAATTGGAAGTGCTAACAGCTCCGATTTGGGGTGGGAACCCAGTGCGTCTTTTCATGTCATCACACGACCATGCGCCAATGGGGTGTGAAGCATGCAATGACAGAAACTCACACAAACCAATGGCGCTGGCTTGTTGCTCTTCTAGCCACGGGATCCTGCACGAGGTTTCGTTCAGAATTTGCACAAAATTGCAATCTCCTTGCAGGGGTGGCTGTTTCATCCTGTTTCATCCATCCACCCAGCCCACCGTCACGGAGGACCACTCCGCTCCCCACCTGGTCCCAAACGCCAGGGCAACACCCTGGATGACCTGGCCAGATCCTCGAAGCGCGCGAGCCGGTATCCAGAGAAGTGCGGGCGCCTGCCAACACCAGCTTACAAGAGAAGCCTCTTGGAGTGAGCTGGGGAGGAGGGTGCGATGTTAAATTGGTGGTAAATCTATAGACACCACTTGCAAAGAAGGAGGTGGTGGACTCAGATGCCCGCAAGTAGTTGTGGATCAAACTCTTTGAAAGATGCTTCCCGTTCAACGGGGCTAAATGGGATTGGGTCAGGCGGCGCATGGCGGCACAAAAACAATCGACCCTGACAGACTTTGCCCAACTCAGGATTCAAACTCCCAGTGTTTTTTTTGCATTCTGCACTTTGGCTTTTCCCCATCAGAACCACGGGATTAGTAGTGATATGTCAGATTGTAAATAGGGTTGTGACCTGTATTATGTACCATATTATGTTTACCACATCGCTGAAGTTGAGAGATCAAATGTGGGGCCATTGTTGGTGACTTGGGGGTACCACTGGGCCAAGAACTGATACTAGGAAGATCTGGCAAGTTAAGCCATATCCCTGCATGCTTTGTTTCGCCACAAGGGTCGAACCCCCTCAGTGCCTCGGTTGGTGCAGCGGCACTCAGGAGATGGCCCCCTGATGCATTTCAAAGAGGTTTGCTCCACCGTTGATGAAGAGGCCCTCCCGGGCCAGACCGCCGACCGAACGACCGGCACTGCTTCAGCAGAGGATTGTCCAGAGGATGGTCATGTTCCAAACTGACCTGATAAACTCAGAACTGGCTGTGGTGCAGTATATATAACATGCGACAAGCAAAGGGTTGCACATGTTGATATATTTTGCCTTGGGGTGCAGGGTGTTGAACCACGAGCAGAGGACGGAGGTGTATATCTGTATGTCATAATGGAGGAGGCAGGGCGCGAGCTGAAAGCCAAACACTTGCGAGGACTCCGACACCGACTCCTCCTTCGGCGAGTATTCGGGGGACGATGACGAGCCGCCAGTTCCCGCTCCGCCTGGCTCTCAGATGAGTCTGTTGACAGGGCCCCAGCGGTTTCCTTTTTGGTGGAGTTCAAGCAGCATAAGGCTACTGTCAGTCCAGTCAGTCCAAGAAATGTCAGGTGCAGGGCTAACAAAAGGGCCGCGCTGTTTCAATCACAACTTGGAGCCGCTCCGTTCTGTGGGGTTGGTCCTTCTTCAACTCTCATAAATTGATGGCCTCCTCGGTCCTGAGTGGTGCCAACTTCAACACTGACTGAGGCACAAGCCCTACCTCCATATCCATGTCTTTCAGAGACAGGTTGCTAATTTTCAAACTATCTGACCAAGCTCTTTACAGCTGTCTCCAGATCAAGAAACAACTTACAGGACCAAGACTCAAAACCCAAGACATGTACACTCATCTGCCACTTGTTGCTTCCTTGTTTAACCAGTGCTGCACACTACACCTCAGCTCCCCAAAACCTTCTGCCCTGTCGACCCATCGCGCCATCGACCCTCGCCATGTCCCGGCCACTTTGGCCGGCCTTGGGGAGCTCGGGGGGCTCGACTGGCTCGCGCGCCCGCAGTTTGATGGCCGTGGCAACCTCGCATCCACCGGCGCCATTTGCGATGGTGAGCCAAAGGCCACAGGGAGCACCCTGGTGGGCCCTCTTGGTGTCTGGCTTGGGCCTGGGAACTGCTGTGGCACTGCTCCTGCGGCTGCTGGCCTGGTGGAGGTGGGCCGTTTAACAGCTCACATCACACTCACACAGAAGTTCCCATCCATTCCATGGCACGAAGTCTAAGTCAGGAGTCCAGTGGCTTGTTATGCATTTTTTCCCCAAACAGTTTACTGTGGGGGTTCTATCTTAGAAAAGGAGAGCTGGCGACACTGACTGTTGTCCTCCTCTTGTCCTCCTCTTATCCTGCTGTTGTCCTCTGGCCGTGCTGACCAGGGCCGCACCCCTGAACTCTGTGGCCGAGTGTTTAGAATGCTGAGTGACGTCCAATCAGACGCCCGCGAAAGAAGCGGGTTCGCGTAGGGGCCCGTCTCATACTGTTGATAGATCCGGCGCCCGATAATGTGCCCGTGAGACGCATTGGACATGGTCAAATTTTTCATGAATATGGTCAACAGCTGGAGAGGAGTGTGGCCGAACACATAGCGATGTCGATGCCAATCATTGATGAAGCAGTTTGCTCTTGGGGGGAAGGTAGGGCGTACCAAGAAATCGTTTTTGAATGTTTTTGAGTGACATTGGTCCAAACGAATCGTATTGAAACTGTTTTGGGTCTATGCTAGTATAATTCTAACTTTGTTTTTCATATGTCTTAAATGTCGAACTTTCCAGATATATTTGATCGGATTTCAAGCTCATGACAGTTGACCAGGAGCTACCAGAAGTTCCAGTCCCGCCCACTCCGCGCGCTGCCGCGCCCGGACGACCGGCCCGCCGACGCGGCGGGGGGGTGGCCGCTTGCAAGAGCTGGTGGCCCAGTGGCGGATCCACGCGGAGGAGACACGGGAGACCACTGCGTCCCTCCGAAAGTCGGTGGAGCAGCAGCAACGGCTCTACCAGATCTTTGTCAGGTTGATGGTAGTGCTTAGCAGGGGAATGGCGGTGTTCAGGGAGTTGGGCGGATTCCCATCTGGGGATTTGTGGGTTGGTCTTTGCATGTCTCTGCGTACGACAAGTGGTTGGAAGGAGGTTAACACCGGTTTAGCTTCCCAAAAACCAGTTCAAGAGGTGATCTTAAAGCCAATCAACTTGTCTCTTCCGTGCAAGTGCGAGCCATTGCCTCATCTCGTGTGCAACACTTCCCCGGCCCATCTCAGGATGGTGGCGACCGACTTCCAACGGAAACTGGATGAAGCTTCCAAGAGGAAGCTTGGCACTTTGCGCATGGAGGCAAGGCGAGGTAAAAGTAAAAGCGAACAGGCTGGTAAAGACATCATTCTGGAAAGGCGAGAAGCATGGGTCGAGTTTACACAATCGTTTCACCCTGCATGGGAGGTGGCCCCTGAATCTTTGCAGCAGCTGCGCTCCTTGGTCTCCTGCAAGCAGGGTGGGCCCAGCACCTCCGGCGCACCCAGCGCCAGCGCGGCCTTGGCGCCCAGCACTGGTGCCGGGACACCGGCGCCGGAGGCAGAGGCGGCGCTGCAGCGGCTGCTGCGGACGAGTGCTTCGGAGGCTGAGGCGAAGCGCTCACTGCAGACCTTGTCAATGATCTTGCAGAACTTGTTGAGCCATCCAACACAAGAGAAGTACAAGGCACGTGGTGCAAAAGAGATGGGAGTGGATGTCGGAAGTGTGATAGATCGGGAAATGCGCACCACCTGGGAATCATGGGAAGCCAGTGCACTTAATTGCACAGTGGGTTGCATACACTATCCTCGATTCCTAGAATGTCACAAATGTACATTAAGCACCCACCCTTGGTGTTTCAGCCGAGCAAAGGTGCCCCAGGTGTTTCACTCGCGGATGCTGTCCACAGATTCGATGCTTTTTGCGTCGACTCGACAGGAGGTGAGCGCCAGCAGCACCCGTTTTCGGGAGACCTTCGAAGCATCGGACGGCGCGGCTGCAGAGCTGTTGAAGCTCGCGGGCTTCCAGTCACCGGGTAATGAACAGGGCTTTTGCATGGTTTTTCTCGACATAGTCAACGCCTGTCACACCCACAGCGCCCTAAAAGATCACACCTTGAACCACTTCATTGTGCTTCATGGGTCCGGGGTGAGAGCAAGCTTCCAACCTGGTTCGTTTGGGATCTGAGGCAGGAGGGTGAGAGCTTCAAATGGCTGAACGGAAGCGGGCGAACGATGGAAGCGTCGAAGCTGCAAGAGTTCTTGCAGGAGGCCTTGAGGGAGGAGCGCTACAAGAAGGAGGACAAGCCCAGCCCCAGAAAAGACGCTGGGCCGAGCAGCAGGCTCTTCAAATTGTTGTATGGTATTAATAAGCATGGGGTAGTGGTGCGTGGGTGGCTCTTGGATGCTTTTGCATTGTTGAACTGTCAGGAGAAGATGTCAGTTGTTCATGTTTCAACTCCATCTCCGCTGAGCACCTTGAACGGGGGTTCTGTTGCTCAAGGCTGCAGGCTAATGATTAATCATGTCGCTTAGCTCTAAAAGCTCGGCAAAAAAACATGAAAAAGCTCAGACAATCTTGTGCTCCAAAAAAGCTTAAGAGCGCGACATCCCTCATCAAACGGCTCCACGGTAGAAACCTGCCTCATCCTCATCCCTCACTCAATGTGCAGCTCAAACCGACCTTCAGGAAGACATGGCCTCCATGGAGGGCATGGCGCCATGGGCTTCGGCCATGGTCCAGGAGCAGCTCTCAAAGCTGGGCCCCCCCTGAGCGAACGCCGCGGCCGCCCCGGACTGGCGGAACCATGTTGCGGTGGAAAAGACAAGACTGGCTTTGGCGGGTCAGGGGTGGTCAGGGTATGTCAGGGTGGGTGGGGATTCAGGAAAATAGCGCCATGATTTATGACTGTGATTAACATCATGTAGTGTGGGATAGTGTGGGTGTCACATATTTGTCACTCAATGTACCTCAATTGGATTTATCACGATTGATTTTTTCATACTTTTCCCCAGTCCCCAAGTCTCCACGACCCTTCCTTCACATAACCTTATATGCTTGAATCTACACCAACCTCACCTCTAGACTTGAGCCGTGGATCCACGGCAAGTTACCATCACGATTTCCACTCCATTTGAAGCCTTTCAGCAACAATCAGTCTTCACTCTTCATTGTATCTCTTCCGCCCTGAGGCCTCGAACTCGGCGACTGTCCAAGTTCTCTCGGTACAGCTGCTTGGAATTGATTGATTTGAGCTGGCAGACCTTAGTGGCTCTTCGTCCCGTTTGGTCGCCTGTCAGCTGGGCAAACCATGCCGCCATACAGTTGGAGGATATATGAATTGGTTTCTTAAGCTTTGAGGCGTTGATGAGACGGACTTTCTCAAGAAGAAAGCGCAGAGCTTGCTCCCAGATCTGAATTTGGTTCTGGAACGCTTGCGCAGTGGCAACGAGGGCCCCACAGCTGCAGATCAGCTTGGACCGTGCTTGGCAAAAGTAAAAAATCAAATAGGAACAACCTCACTGGTGCACTCATTACTGTAGTTGGAGAGGCCTGTTGGATTTCGCCCACCCAGCTTTGATGACTCAATGTTCCGGTCTTTTGATCCTGACGACTCGAGGACGACTCTTCCATGACCAGTCGCACCATGTCGCACCCAGTCGCCCAGTCCGTTTTTTCATGCCGCAGGCATAGTAGCGTGCTTGCTACTAGTAGCTTCTTGTTACTGGTATAGTAACATATAGTAACGCCAGGAGCTACTAGTAGCGTCCTTGCTACGCTTCTTCTTTGAGGCCTCTCGGAGTCGGAGATGGAGCGCTACGGCGCCGCCTTTGTGCGCTTCAAGGATCCCGACGGCCCCGAGTTGCACAAGGACAGCCCGCGAGCTGCGCCGGCCGCCTGCGGCAGCACCGCCTGTCTGGTGGCTCCTCCCTTAAGGCATCCTTTGTGTCCATACTGCAAGGGCTTACTATGCACCTTCAACATCCTTCAATGGCTTTCATTTTGGTTCTCACATCTTTGTGTCACCCAGTAAACCTGGTGAAAGACTTCGGCATCCAGGATGAGCTGCCCAGTATGTTGTCCTTCTTGGGCTTCCCCAACACGGACCCCGAGAAGTGCCGCGAGATCGCGGAGCCCGGGCGGAACGGGTAGACGATGGAACGACCACCGGCGGCGCCCGCTGAAGAGCGGCCAAACTGATGGACTTAGGTGTTGCCCTGGTTGTGCAGTTGTGTGGTTCTTGTTGCTGTACAAGTCTTCTAGTGCTGGACCTTGAGGAAAGAACAAGCACATACAAGCGCAGTAGATAAGCAACAAATCCGACATGTCCGCTGCTGAGGCGGACTCAGCTGTTCCCAGATTCTTACATGGCTTGGTGTGATAGAGGTGGAATGCCTATACTTAGACTCAGCCAAGGACGACTGTGCAGACTATGAAACCTTTGAAAAGTCGGACTTTCTGCGACTTGTCTGCGGTGCCAGCGTTAGGAAGGGTCACCCAGTGGCTCAGAGCTCAAAATACATCAAGCAGTGAGACCAAAATGCGTCCTCCTAGAGTGACCCCCCAAACACATTCGAAGTACTCGCGTGTTTCTAGACTCTAAGTGAATGCATCCAACAGTTTCCTACAATGTGTTTTCATGTGTTTCCTCACACTCTTGGGGAGCACAAAGCACAGGTTCCTGCAGAAATCCCTTTTTCAGCTCAAGTTGAACTCATTTCTCTGTTTGGATGTTCTCCGCCCATGAGCCCACACATTTCTCCACTGCAGGGAGTTCATGGAGAAGTGGATCGCTTGGGAGCGGGAACGGTACAAGGCGCCATCTCTCTCTTCAGCCACGCCCAGTGAAGTTCCCCAAACTGCTGGGGAACAACAACTGATAACTAGGGAACTGCTGAACTGCAGGGCACCAAGATATGATGCAACCAGTGTTCACATTTCATGGACAAGATTCTCCACCACCTGACGAGCACTAGCCTTGTTTATAGCATCTCCATCAAGCTGCTAATCTTGGAAAAAGACATATTGGCCTTTCATGGCAGTTCTTATGCAGTGAACACGCACCAGCGACACGTGCACCACAAAACAGTGCGGGGTGCAGCAGGGCCCAGTTCCCACAATGATGCTTTATGCGCGGCTCATTTCGGCAGACACAGGGGGAAGAAGCCAAGATTGCAATTTCATGAGTTCCCAATTGTCCCGCCATCGGTCAACTTGTCACGAACTCGGGATTGTTGGATTGGCTGCCCCCCTCGAGAACTTGATGATGCTAGCTGCTTTTGGTATGTTGCGGCAACTGCAAGGGGTCCTGCCGCGCTTCCTGCCAGGAGATTTTTGCGTCGTATGACGATGCATCTTGGATGACCGGTGAATCATTTTGGATGTCTACAGGTGCCCCAACCCAAATCGTGTCTACAGTGCTTAATGCTTATTCGATCCACTGGGGCAGCAAAAGGAATACCATGGAGAGCCCCGCCGTTTCGGGGGGTCCAAGCGCTGCTTTTTGTGGTGGGTTCCAAGCGATACTGTTCGGTCAGCTTGAGAAACTCGGTGGAAGAACACCCCGAGAAACATGAAGAAGAATTGACATTTGTAGTAAGACACCATTGGTAATTAGGGCGTGTTAAGTGGTGCATAGTGTGGTGCATCTGAAGCTGCTTTTGGCCCGTCCAGTTTAGGACTTCACAGGCGTTTGCTCACAGAGGTCATTCATGTTTGCGGAGATCAGACATTAGTCATTAGTCATTCTGAAGGTGTTGGATGTATAAAATGACAAGTGCACTTTCTCACTAAACGGAGCGCCGGCTTGTTCGTCTCAGCTTGCTTAAGCCCGTCGCTCGACCGAGGATGGAAGTGGTTTTTTAGATACGACGGAGCTCATGACATTTGTCAGCTCCTTGGGTTTCACACCGCTTCGCAGCAGCTTGTCACAGACAGGAGGGAGCGACGAAGCGGAGTCCTATGTGCGAATGGACGAGGGGATGTGGGAGCTGATGATTGTTCAGTTTTCTTTGGTATCCAGTGCAGGCTGCAGATGACTTACCATCTCTCCCAGTAGTCTAAACGCCGGCCTGTCAATGTTTCGGGGAGTCCAGGGTCCGACTCGCGGCTCGCAGCACACACGACACGACACGCACGACACGAGGCATGGTGAAAGAAGCGTTGGACCTGGTGGATATGGATCGCAATGGCCGCTTAGCCCAAGCTGCCAACCATGAACCAGTCAATGAAACATATAATGCTGCATGTTGGCCTCTGGCCTGTGAGGCAACGGAATTGACCGGGAACCAAATGGAACAAAGGACACCCACCAAGAGTAGAAATTGCTACTGTACCCGGTTTGTTGCTTGCTTTAGCTGCTGTAGCTGCTGGCCACGTAGTTGGCCCTATCCATCAGGCCGTTGCGTCGCACCTATTAGCCTATCCATACCTATTCATTAGAGACTATCCATCCCTGCTATCACCCATGTGCTATGAGTTGTTCCTTTTGCTGTTTGGCCCCTATCCAGAAATGGTCGACATGTCTTGCCAGGACAAGTCGGCCAATCATGTTGTACGTACAACAGGTCCAAGCTGGCAAGCCTCGCCAGCAATGTTGGGACCTCATATTTCTGATCCTCGCAGTAGCTCACATGAGGCGACCCGGGTACTATGACACAGCATCGGGCATTGATTATTCGGCCAACTCCTCGCAAGATTCAAAAACCTTTACGACACTGCAGGACATATATATATATATACCTACGGTGGAGGCCATCACTATTTGGTTGGAGGCCGTCGCTATTACAGTAGGTTGGAGGCCATCGCCATTAGGAATCAACCTTTCTGATTTATTGCTATTAGAGGATGCAGAAGTGCACAGCCCATTCATGTGCTAAGTCCGTGACACATCTATGACGCTGGCAGCACGCCAGTAATGCCAAGGCTTGCTAGACTTTGAAGAAGTGGTTGGGGCCTCAGCTGCCTTGATGGGGCAATGGACCTGTTTGTACGGGGGTCCTAGGTCGTGATGCCCAGATATGTTTGATATATTTTGCTTTTGAAGGACATCACTTGAAAAAGTAAATGAAAGTTAGAGGCGTTGTTTTTTAAGGCATGGATTCTGGGTGCCACCTGCATGCTGCAGGTGCTTCTCATGCATTGCTACCGGCATTCAGAGGGTTTCACCTTGGATGAGTTGCAGATGCTCGACTGCAGCGGAAGGAAACAAGCGTGGACACTCTCAAAAACTCAAGCTTATTATGGTGAGGTTTGGTTGCTATTTGGCCAACATCAATGTGATTGTTCAAGTTGTGCAGCCACCAAAGAACAACTTCTACAAACAAGAGGGTTCCGCACCTCGAGTTGCTGAAGACTCCTTCATCCTTCGAGCACTATGGACTATGGGTCTTCTTGGCTGGCTTTCCATCAGCCATCAGCGATGTCAATGGTCAACCATATCCTTTGCCCACACAAATCTTCTGATGTGCGACAATGTGGGACTCGTTGATTTGCAGTGAATGGTATTTTGGCTTTTGCTTGGCTCGCTTCGTTTTTCTTTCCAGTAGCACATTGCCCTACAGAATCCCACAGAGAAGCGTTGCAGTGAGTCATTGTTTAGTTGATCTAGGGAACAAGCTGGGGGTTTGACAAGGGAATGCCCAGTCTTCCTACTGCTGATCTGTGGGATTGACGGAGGACGGGCTGTGAGAGGTACAAGGTTTGGTCCACTCCCCAAAGTGACACGATTGACAGACTTTCTGAAGGACGATCACTGCAATATATCAAGATGTGGTCGACCAAGTGTCGTGCCTTGTTTGCAATGTGGCCAATCATCAT